ATTCATGATGGATGGACTTGGTAGACAGTTTATAGTAAAAGCTTAATATTTCTAATCTGAAAATTCAAAGTTTAAAATGCTTTGAAATCTAAAACCCTTCTGGTTCCAAGCATTTTGGGTAAAAGATGTGTAAACTACCATATACTAAATAAAAGTTGAAATAGGCTTCACTGAGAAGTAAGAATTGAGTAAATCCCTGAAAATACTGAGAGTTAATTCTGTAGATATTGCAAGGAAAAGGATTCTAGACAGTTCAGGGTCAGACTAAGGCAGCGGTGACAGGTGCTGTAGTGGGCGGTTTGCCGTCACTGCTCTAAGGCATGATCGTGTCTGGCTTCCAGCACACTGCAGCTAGAAGGCAGCGAGAGGAAATTTCTTAGAAGAGATCGTGCAGATAGGGGAGGTCTTTTAGCTTTTACGCAGAGAGGAGTAATCCTCGCAGGGTTGTTTTGTTGCTTTATTATTTTGTGTGTGTGTGATCCTGGGGGTCAAACCTCCCTCAGGCTAAGCGTGCAGCCCCTGAACTGCACCCCAGCCCTGCACCTGGACGTGCAGTGTGACAGTGGTTCTCATGAGAGATGCTGGTGGCTTAGAGAGATGTGACAGAGATAGGGGTGATGAGCAGTAAATTGTTTCTGAGATGTGTGTGTATTTAAGTGTAAATAAATACAAATATATATGTATATATTTCAAGGAACATTTCTCTAATTTGTGTGTCACCCTCTCACAAGGGCCATGCTGATCTTTCAGTCCTGTTCCAAGTCTCGTATGCATGCCACAGAAGTGGGCACAGTTTCTGGGTGTATTTTGGAGGTAGAACAGATGGCTGACAGATTGTAGAGTACAGAACAAGAGCAGAATCAAAGATAATTCCAAACTGAGGCCTGAGTGAGAGAAGAATGGATGTGCCATTCACTCAGTGGCAAAGACTTTAAGGGAACACGGTTTTAAAAAGTCAAGAGTTTGGTCTTGATATGTTGAGTTTGAGATGTCTTTTAGATATGTAAGTGGAGGTAGATGCCTGAGTATTGAATTAATGAAAGATGTCTCGGCTGGGATGCAAAAAGCATAAGGGAAGTTTATAGCATAAAATGTAAGAGTCTGAAAATTAAAGACCTAAGCACATCTTATAAAAAGTTAGACAGGAGCAACAGAAGAAACCCAAGGAAGCCTGAAGAAAGGAAGAGAAAAAAATAAACAGGAAAGAATTAATGAACACAAAGGACAGATAAAATAAAAATCGGCAAAGTGGAAATATGATTCTTCAAAGCCAGGCAGGATGATCCTCGCCTGTAATCCCAGTTCTTGGGAGGCTGAGGCAGGAGGATTGTTGTGAGTTCCAGGCCTTCCTGGGCTTCATAGTTCCAAGTCCAGCCTTGAATACAGAATAAGACCCTGTGTCAAAACAGAGAACAGCAACAGCAAAAAAGAAACTATCAGGATCAGTTAATGGCCAGTTGTGTTGACATATATCTGTAATCCAGCACTCTGGAAACCTGAGGTAGAAGGATCTCAACTTCGATCCTATCCTGGGCAATTTAGTAAGAATCTGTCTCAGGATTTGAGAAAAAAGACTGGGGCTATAGCTCAGTGTGAAGGCCTTGGATCAGTTCTCAGCATGGGGGTGAGGAATTCAAAAATCTGCCTAGTTCTGTAAACACTAACCATGTTGTGCCAGTAGACTGTAAAATCTTCCTATGAAGAAAACCCTCTACAACTGAAAAATACAATAAAGAAAATGTCATGCCACAGAGTAGAAAAAAGAAAACACTAGGCCCCATGTAACATCTTGGTATAGAAAGGCAGGAGGTGCTAAGATTATGGGACATTTTAGTATCAAAAAGAATGACAGTAGTGAATGAAAAAAATTGGCTTGAATCATAGTGATATTCACTAAAAGAGCAGAGAATGCTAAGAAAGGTGTAAAGACAACTATTGAGTGTAGAATTAGAAATACCATTTTAGAAGACGGGGAAAAAAAAAGAAAATTCCATTTTAATTCAAGCAAAGAAAACTGGTAGGTGTTAAACCACTGGGTGAAAGACTGCTGAAGAATAGTATATGTGTATATGTATGTATTGACAGAGTCTCTCCAGGAAGCCCAGGCTGGCCTCAAACTTGTAGCGATCTTCCTGCCTCAGCCTCCTGAGTGCTGGGGTTACAGGTGTGTGACACCATGCCTAGCTTGAAGAATAGTATATTGTTACAGTTTGTATCACCTCATAGATAACTATAGATTGAATTAACTACAAATCATCAATCACATTATGAATTGTAAGGGGGAAACGTATACCTTTATAATGGAGAATTTGGCTTCAACAGTAAAGGAACGGCCTGAAAATGATGTGTCTCTTGCTGTGATATAGTGGGCAGTACATAGTGTTACCAGTGTGGTATTCTTTTTGTTGTTGTTGTTGTTGTTAGCAGGGATTGAATTTGGGACCTTGTGCTTACAAGGCAGGTGGTAGAACCACTGAGCTAAATCCCTAGCCATTAGCAATGTGGTGTTCTTGCCAGAAATGTTTAATCTGAATCTACTCTGGGAAACAAAAGCAAATGTGGTGGCACATTAATCCCAGTACTCAAAAACCAAACCAAACCAGGGGCCAGGGGCTTAGCTCAGTGGCACCGCGCCTGCCTCACAAGCACAAGGTACTGAGTTCGATCCCAGGTACCAAAACAAAACAAACAAAAAACTAAGGATGCTAATAGGATTTATATCGCAAATTGAGGACATTAAAAATCGTTTTCATCTTTTTTTTTCTTTTTATTGAGTTTATTGGTACAATCTAGGTATACAGTACAGTTACATTCATTACTGGGATCCTGTACCTTCACATGACAGGTCTTGGTTCTCATTTTTTCCCCTTGTCCCTGCCCTCCCTTCACCCCCCCTCCCCATTTACAAACGCTTTATTTCCATTTTTTCATATTTTTTTCTTTTCCCTTATTCCCTTTCCCCCTACCCTTCCCACTTTCCCTACACCTTTAGCCCTTTTCTTCCTATTTCATACTATTAATTATCGCATTAGAATTTTGTGTACTATTATAGTTTTTCACACCAGAGGAACTATTCAGTATTTACACGTGTGTGACTTATTTCACTTAAGAGTAGATCCTCAGTATGTATCCATTTTCCTATGAATGACTCTAATTTCTCATTTTTTATGGCTGAGTAGTATTCCATTTTATAGAAAAAAACCATATCTTCTTTGTCCAGTTTCCAGCTGATGGGCAAATGAGCAGTTTCCAAGTTTTAGCTATTACAAACTGTGCCACTATAAACATTGGTGTGCATATATCACTGTGGTATGATTCTTTTAATTCTTTTGGAAAGACACCCAGCAGAGGGATGGGCTGGTTCAAATGGAACCTCTAATCCTAGTTCTTTGAGGTATCTGCATATTGTTTCAGTAGTGGTTGCACCATTCTGCACTCTCACCATTGGAGAAGGGTTCCTTTCTCCCCACAATGTCACCAGCATTTGTTATTGGTTGATTTCTTGATAGCAGCCATTCTTTGTGGGGTGAGGTGGAATCTTGGTGTTGTTTTCTTCTGCATCTCTCAAGTGACCAGTGATGTGGAACATTTTTTCATATATTTACTTGCTGCTTTTACTTCTTGTCTGAGAAATGTCTGTTCATTTCAGATGCCCATTTTTGAATTGGGTCTTTATATTTGGGGGGGCTGATTGTTTTGAGTTCTTTATATATTCTAGATAATAGTCCTTTGTCTGAGAAGCAGCTGGTAAAAATTTTTTCCTACATTGTAGGTTGTCTCTTCGTTCTGTTGATGGTTTCTTTTGCAGTGCGGAAGCTTTTTAATAAGATGAGATCCCAGTTGTTGATTCTTTCTGCTAGTTCCTTTGCTACTGAGGATCATTTTAATTACCAGAAAATTCGGAAGAATAATAAAAGTCTTTAATTTGGATATATTTTTCTTTAGCTTAAATAAAATATGTCCTTATTTTTCTAATTTCTCTGTAAACCAGTGGAAGTTTCAAAACAATCCAAAGCTGAATTTGACAGCTAGAGCAACGGGGAATACTGTTTCTTGTTTTTGTTGTTGTTTTGAGACTGGATCTTGCTATTAGTTTAGGCTGGCCTTGAACTCACAGGGGATCCTCCTACCTCAGCCTCCCAAGTGCTGGGATTACAGGCGTGCACCACCATGTTCAGCAGGCTGTACTGTTTCTTGCAGGGTGGGTACACTGTGTGTGTGTGTGTGTGTGTGTG